CCAATTGCAGTTTCTAAATGAGGACTGCCTATAGTAAAAATCTTTCTATACTGCACCACTGTACTAAATGTATAATACATTCTATTGTGTGATGGAATATTTTTCTATATATCATAATATAAAGCTATTTAGGCTGCAGGCTTGTACATAAGATACCATGTGCTAAGACAGAAATAGTGACAAGCCCTTGAAGAACAGGGGCTGATTTGGAATGTCAGGCTGACATTGTGGTGGGATTGGATGCGAGGAGCGGGTCTCTGTGCTCCCGTGCCGACATCTCCCCATAGGACGGCTCTGAAAGAAGCTAAAGCCTTCCTGTACGGGTGGTGAAGAAAAGGGGAGTCCTGCAGGTTGCAGAGAGCCACAACTCTTCCGCTCAATACAGGGCTTTATCTCTCTTATCTGCGATGAGAAGAGGCAGCCATCATGGCTGCCATGAAGCTGGGACAGCCGAGGCAACAAAAAAAATGGGAAGGAGCGATGTAGATGAACAGTGACTGGAGCTTCCTTTTTTATTCCTTTTTTATTTAGACCCTAACTTAAAAAGGAGAAAAAAAAGAGAAAATCCAGGAAGAGACTCTTAGCGGCAAATAACGATAGAGAGAAAAATCTTAGACCCAAAAGAAAGAAATTAAGGGGAGAAAAGCTAAAGACTTTCTTAAAAAAAATACCAAAAATTGGATTGTTTAAACTGGCTAGGCTTGTATTGGAAAGGCATTATAAAATGCTGGAACTATTTACCTGAATAGCTGACTTTGCTTTCATAAACTGAATTAAAACTTGGATTAATTAATTTGTTAGATTTGAAACAACGCTGAAACCTAAGCTGAGGGTGCCATCTATTAGTGAATGGAAAATATATCATACCCCAACAAAACAAAACAATCAAAAAAATTTTGATAAGAGAACCAAACAAGGCCTATTTGGAGGATTGTGGTGATTTACTGTTCTATAAATATCTATTTCATGATTACTGGAGATTCTATTGTGAGAACAAGGAAGACTCTTTAAAAAAGTAAAGTGACTTTTGACTTTTGGAAAGTTGCCTGGACTATCTATGGAATGGATTAATAACCCTGAGATGTAAAAAATTATTGTTGAATATTCTGAGGAGCAACATCAGACTTGATTTCTGGACCGCTGATAAGAGTGGGACTTATTAAAACAGGAGAAGAGGCTTTACCAAGGGGAGATGAGTGGGACTGCAGGAGAAATGGTGTTGATGTTTCAAGACATTAGGAATGCTATGACAAAGAATTACAGAGAAACACAGAACTTATTGCAAGGCATGAATGGGAAAATAGAAAATATCTTACAACTGATAATAGATGAAGATTAAAGAGTCCAGGAAAGAGAGGAGATAACAGAAAGAACAGAGGGAAAATCAGAACAGACAAATCAGCAAATAAAACAAGAAGATGAAAAGGAGAATACGACAAAAATAATAATGACTGATGAAATAAACCAAGGAAAAAAGTACTTTAAGAGATTTAAAAATGGAATCTGATAATCTAGAAGATACTTTTGAAAGGGAGATCGGGGCATGGGTGGATATTTTGGCGACCTGGCAGCTTAGGAGGATAGAGATGGGAGAAATACCTAGATTGAATGGTGAAGACATAGGTGTTGATAGAGAGAAAGATCCAAGAGAGGAATATGGGAGAATAAGAATCGAAGTATTAAAACGGGTAAGAGATGATGGATAGAAAGGAAATATTTTCTTCTTCTTTTCTAATATAATGATGGCCTATTGAAAAACTAGAATAAAGAAATAAGAATACACCCTTTTACATAAAGTAACAGTTAGATGGAAAGATAATAATATTATTTTATTTTATTTATTTTTTTATTTGTCAAGAACATATTTGGTAATAAGTATAAGCATAGATACAAATAGAAACATTAGGACAGGGACAATAGGCACGCTGGTGCTCTTATGCACGCCCCTTACAGACCTCTTGGGAATGTGGTGAGGTCAACAGTAGACTGTTTTAGGTTAAAATTTTGGGGATTTTGGGATGAAACCACAGAGTCAGGTAGTACATTCCAGGCATTGACCACTCTGTTGCTAAAGTCATATTTTCTGCAATCGAGTTTGGTGCGGTTTACCTTAGGTTTGTATTTATTATGTGCTCGTGTATTGTTGTGGTTGAAGCTGAAGTAGTCATTGACAGGTAGGACATTTTATCAGATAATTTTATGAGCTATGCTTAGGTCATACCAAAGACGGCGTAGTTCTAAATTTTCTAAGCCCAGAATTTAAAGTCTGGTGGCATAAGGTCTTTTTTTGCGAGCAGATGACTGGAGGACTCTTCGTGTGAAATATTTCTGGACATGTTCAATTGTATTAATGTCCGATATGCAGTGCGGGTTCCAGATAGATGAGCTGTATTCAAGAATTGGTCTATCAAATGTTTTATATGCTCTGGTTAGTAGTGGGATATTACCGAAAAAGAAGCTACACAAGATTAGGTTTACAACTATTAATGCCTTTTTTTGGCAATGTTGTTACAGTGGGCTTTGGCACTTAGATCATTATATATGAGTATTCCAAGGTCTTTGATAGAGTGAGGTTCATCTACATATTACATACTTGAACATATGTCCAAATAATATGATGATTGGCATTAGAATGGTGTATTGAAATATTGAACAACCAATAATGAAGGACTATGTCTTAATATAAACATGTGTATTAACAATAGGATAAGTAATGATGTCCTGGAATATAGGCAGAAATAAGAAATAGGGGGAATATTTATATAATTTTATATGATAGAATGTGAATAATAACCAGATGGAAAGATAAGCGGTCAAAGTATGGTATTACTATGTATGCTTAAATAATATTACTATTGGTATTAAAATGGAACATTGACATACTGAATAATTATTATAAAACAAATATGTATATTAATAATGGGATTACACAAATTTGAATAATGTAACAAATATTAATGCTATTATTGTTATTTGTAACAAAATGAATTATACCCAGAGGCCACATTCTTCATGAATTAATATGATGTAGATTTAAAAATAAAAATTCTATAAAAGGGGTGGTGGTGGAGAACAGGGGCTGATTATAATATACTGGTAGCTTCCTTTGTGTTTCTTAAACTATGCTGTTGATCTCAGTGGTGTCAGGCAATTCTACAGTCATTGTTGAAGTAAGACATGACTGTTAGTCAGTAACTGCAAAATCAGTAACAGTAACTGATTTTGTACATAGCATAGGATGCCATATTGGCTTTTGCTTTGGGCAGCAAAAATTGATTCAGACCCAATCTTATGGTAGTTCAAAAAGAAATCTGACAACATCAGTGACGTCCAGTGACATTCTAAATCAGAAAATAATCAGAATTACTGTTCAATGGAAACTGATTAAGAAAATAATGCCAAAATTAGCAGTCACAGACCACCCAAATATTTTGTGTAAAAATGTAATTGCATTTGAAAAACGGCACTTCTCTTTTTTTTTAGTTCTTTTTTTTTAATTGAGCTTTTAACCTTATAAGTCACCCAGAGTCACTGAGAATGAGTTGGCCATATAAATTTTCTTAAATCAGTCAAATAAATAAAAGGAGACATGGTGAATACTGAAGTAATCAATGCCCTGTGGTAATAACTTCAAGAGTCTGGCTGAAGACAATCATTGCAAATACCTCGACATTCTTCAAGATGACAGTATTAAGCACACTGAAGTTATGAAGGTCAGAAGTGAATACAATAATGAGAATGAGGAAGATCTTAGCGTTCAAACCCATAGGAGGAAATAGTATCAAGGTGATTAACACCTGGGCAATGAGCCATAATACATTTACTTCATGTCAAACTGTTGAAGAAAAGCGTGCATTACCTGAATATGTAAAGTCAGTCATGAAGCATTGATAAGTTAAAAATTGGAGATTTTGTCATGTACAGAAAACAAATATGAATATCAAAATAATTTAACCTGTAATGTAGATTACATTATATCTACAAAAGATCATGGGGAAAGTAGATAAAGATAAATCCTGGCAATGACTTAGAACTGGAAGATTTAAAAATAAACAGGGCTTTGAATATGGTTGCTCAAAAACAAGCTTTTCAAATTAATGCTGTTAAGGCCAGAATTGAAAAATTGTCAAATGACGCAAGATACAAATTGTGCAGTAGGCAATAGATGCAGTAGAACATATATCCAGCTCACAGGATCTGTGATCATAGTTATAATAAATGACAAATGATAGTTGCCAAAATTATTTACTGGAACATCTGTAAAAATTATAATGAGCCATTAACAAAAAATTGAAAAAGTAGTTGAAAATAGCAGATTAAAATATTGTGGGATTTCAGAATACAGACTGGTATGTTATCTGACTCATAACATACAAGATATAACTATGGTTGAAAAGAAGAAAGTATGGATAATTGATGTAGCAATACCAGGGAATAATAGGACAAAAGGACAAAGAATTGGAAAAGATCACAAAAGTATCACAATCTAAAAATTAAAATTGAAAGCTTATGGCATAAATTGGCTGTGGTAGTCCTATTGGTTATTGGGCATGCTGGGTGGCATACCAAGAAATCTTGGGTGATACTTAGAGAAATTACGTATTGACATTTAAGCATCCAATCTGTCAATTACAAAACATAATACTGTTCGGATTTGCACATATATCTTGCCAATACATAACAACATCTTAAATTCTTGTGAAGAATTTGATGCATATAAAAATCAACACAAGCTAAAAAACTGGTCGCTTTTATTTCATGCTGTTATGTAGAAAATAATTATTTATTAAAATAAACGACTTGTATAAACGAAATGTATAAACAGCCCAGTATCAATTTAGGAAATAAATTTTCAGAAAGAAATCTGTAATTCTGTTGAAAAGTGAGCTCAGAAGACCTATAGGATGACTTAATTCATTTTGATAACATGATTTGTAAAAATGTTTAATGGGAAATTATGTTTGAATAAAAATGCAAAAATATTCTCTTTTTTTCCCCAGTCGTCCATATACCAACAAAGTTATCACTTTATGGTATCGTCCCCCTGAACTTCTGCTAGGAGAGGAACGATACACACCTGCCATTGATGTCTGGAGCTGTGGGTGAGGCATTTTTTGCTAACAAACTTTATGCAGCAAAGTAATTTGGAAAAAGGTACAGATTACGTGATATAATGGGTACATTTGAATCAGAGATCAGGATACATTACACTGTAGCAGCAATTGTTTTATTGACAGAATTGGAGATTATCTCTAGTGTGTGTTAAAAAGGGGTGCAGTTACAGTCCCTGTTTATACTTATTCACATAAAATGTGGCTGACTGGATACAACAGCAGGTATGTGCTAATAGAATTAATGAGGCCATTAGAGTGTACCTACAATGCAGTGAAACAGGACTACAAATAAAATGGGGTTTCCAACGATTTCAAAATATTTTCTGAATATAGTTTTTTTTAGGACTTGCTTTTTGTTTTTGTTTTTGTTTTTGTTTTTGTTTTGGAGATTTTCAGCATTCCTTGGCTTTCTAAATATTTTAAACTGACAGAAGTCCCAAAGGTGCTGCAACTGGACTTTCTTGCTTTTTTTTTTTTGAAGACATTTCACTTCTCATCCAAGAAGCTTCTTCAGCTCTGAAAGGATGGAAGGATTTATATTCCTTGCAGACAGCTGGTAATCTGCATAGTTTTAGAGCACAGGTGTCAAACTCAAGGCCCGTGGGCCGGATCCGGATCGCGTGGCAGAAGCACTTCAGGCTGGTCCTTTGATATTTCCAGGCCAGCCCCGCAGGCAGGAGGTACAGTGCTGCAAGAGGCAGAGGCACTCCATGGGGCACATGGGACCGCACATCCTGTTTTGGCTGGGAGGGTGCTGCAGGAGGCAGCACCTTCTTCACCTTCTCGTTAGCAGCATCTGCCAATTAGAACTAGGTACCTTCTGGATGGCTATTGTTCAGGAGAGCCAAAAACAATTGACCGGTTGGCGTTGCAGCGGGATGGTATGGGATAGCGGAGCTCAATGGAGCATCGCGAAACTCAGCTGATACCTGCTTGCCAGGAGACCCTATGGGGCCAAAGCCACCCTGGAGGCTGGTGAAGAAAGGAGGGATGCTTTGTAGATCATGAGGAAGCAGCAATTTCCTCGTTTGATCCAAAGAAAACCCTCTTGATCGACAGCAGAGATGACAGCCATTTTGGCAAGGCCGAAACTGTGACAACCAGGACAAGAAGAATATGTGCTGGAATGATTTGTGGGCAGTGGATTGAAACTGGGTGAGACAACTTTCAACTTCTGTATTAGAGACTTAAACCCAAATAAAAGAATTCTTTAAAAAAAGACGCTCCAAAACGTTTAGAAAGCAGCAATTTATCACACAGAGAAAGTTTATAAACCTAAAAGTGAAACAAACTGTTAATGGAAGACTGAAGCTTTAAAAATAGAGAAAAACTGGACTGGAACTGGTAATAGCTTGAAAAGTGATTTAATCTGTGGATAATACTGTTTGATTATTGAAAGAATTTGTATAGAGGAACTTTGCTTTTTATTTTATTATCCCCCCCCCCCCAATCTTTGCTGTGTTTAATGCTGGATTTTAGAGCGGGGGTGCCACCTATTGGTCAAAGAAGATATTTTATTAGTACATCGTGGGAATAACCTTGGAAAGTAAGATTTATTTGATATTATTTGATAATACAAGAACAACAAAGAGGAGAAAAAAGAGAATAGTGAAAGGCAAACACCTGGAAGGCCTTTTTATTTTGGTTTCATATCTATTGCAGTTTTGGCTACTTGGAAGTATTAGTGAGTCATTTGAAGATTTTTAAAGCAGATAGATTACAATTAACAAGAAACATCCTTGAAACTGAATATCTGACTTTGTGGACTAAAGGCATTTGGGGAAATTTGGTGGGCCAATTTGGATTATTAAGATCATCTGACAGAACATTCTATGAGGCGAAAGAAGAAAAATTAAACAAGATTTAAAAATTTGGAAAACTTAGAGGGTGCAAACTGGAAAATTTTAAGGACTATAAATTTAGGGAATTTTGAGGAACAGTTCTGGGACTGTGTAAATTTTACTAATATTGGCATTTTTGGTGCTTCTGGATAATTGGGATATTGAAATTTTGGTGGAATATTGAGCAGTGATTAGTTTAGTATATCAGCACAAAATGTTTCAACAGGGGAAAACAAATGCAGTTGATAAAGAAATATTATTGATGTTTTAATGTATTAAGGAAGATATGACAAGGAATCATGGGGAGATGATGGAATTGATGCAGGATACAGGTATGAGACTAGAAATCCCCCAGCAAATGACAGTAAAAAATGAACAAAAAATTCAGAAAATAGAGGAGAAACCAGAAAGAGCCGAGGAAAGAATAGAGGAGATAAATCCAAAAATAACAAAGAGATGGAAGAGATAGCAATAATTTCACACACACACACACACACACACACACACACACACACACACACACACCACACACACACACACACACACACACACAACATATACATACATATACACATGTATACCAGGGGTGAAATGCTCTCGGATCAGACCGGATCACCCGATCCAGTAGCAATCTTGGCCGATGGTTCGGCAATGGTAGCGACGGCAGAGCAAAGCTCCGCCCATCCGCCTGGATGTCATTACTTCCTGGTTTTAACCAGGAAGTAATGTGTTTTTTACCTTCTGCACATGCATAGAAGGTCTGCGCGTGCAGCGCATGCACGTCCGAACCGGTAAGGAAGGTAAGTAGATTTCACCCCGATACATACATATCATATACATGTGAGCCGCCTCATATCACTGAGTTTGTCATCTTTTATCTTAATCTTTTACCTGTGATTGATTCAATTATGAATTTTTTTTATTGTTGTGAGCCACCCAGAGAATTTGGTGGTATATCAGTTTTATAAATTATTACTAATATTAAGTCCTCCTCTAGGGCTGTGTCACGTTGTAACAAAGATTGATTGGACAGATAGTTTTTAGAGACATCTGGAGAAATTGTCAGTTCATTTATGCTCTGCTCCTATACAAAAGTGTCAAGCCCCATAGCAGTTGGGGACTCTAAATGTCTTTAATCTCTACCTTATGGAATTGAGACTATTTGTGCCAGAAAGTAAATCTCCCTTTGTCTGGAATAGCTGTTTTGAATGTAAAGGGGAAAAAATGCGTTTGAGTCTATGTCATACACCCACCCTGGCCATGCCCACTCCTCTGAGGTCAAACACAACCCTGATGTGGCCCTCAATGAAATCGAATTTGATACCCCTATTTTAGAGGGTCCTTGAAGCATTTGGATGTTTATCTGTGTCTTCAGGGTCACCTGAGTTCCTGTAGTCTGCAAAACCCCCCCCCCCCCGGAAATCCATTCCAATTCCACACCATTTAAAGGGTGTTCATCCCAAATTGTATAGCTAAAAGCTCACCCTTTGAATGGTGTGGGAGTAGGAATGATTTTCCAGAGGGGGGTGGGTGGGATTGCAGTCTACAAGAATCAGGAGTACTACTCAACTGATCCTGAAGACACAGATAAACATCCAAGTGCTTTAAGGACCCTCTAAAACAGTGGTTCTCAACCTTCCTAATACCATGACCCTTTAATACAGTTCCTCATGTTGTGGTGACCCCCAACCATAAAATTATTCCTAAAACCATTGAAAATATGTGTTTTCCGATGGTCTTAGGCGACCCCTGTGAAAGGGTCGTTCGACCCCCAAAGGGGTCCCGACCCACAAGTTGAGAACCACTGCTCTAAAAGGATGCAGATTACCAGATGTCTGCAAGGAATATAAATCCTTCCATTCCCGACTATTCTATCAGAGCTGAAGAAGCTTCTTGGATGAGAAGAGAAACATCTTCAAAAGAAAAAACAAGAAAGTCCAGTTGCCTCCTGAAAAAGCACCTTTGGGATAACCATGACCTGGATGACTGAGAATCTCTACAGACTTTAAGCTGAAAGTATTTTTTCTGAGAAAATGTTATTAAGGATTAATTGCATAATTTGGTAGCAGTTTGGACCCATAGTCTCCTAGAATTATTTGCTCTCTTTTTGTAGATGTATCCTGGGTGAACTTTTTACTAAAAAGCCAATTTTTCAAGCAAATCAAGAACTTGCTCAACTGGAACTGATAAGGTCAGTATATCCTAGGACTCTGAAAAATCTACTTTTCAGCAAATAGTCTGCAATTATTTCTCTTCATACAATTAAAATATATTACTTGCCGTATTTTACAAAAATAAAAAGAACTTTATGCAAACAAATGATTGTTTAAAAAGTGAGGAACTAGAGTTGTAATACATTGTGATTATAGATTTCAACTCAGAAAATTTAATGGTGCTTTTTAAGCACGTCTTACAATTTTTGTGTTCTTTCTGTTGCAGTACTTTTTAATGAAGATAAAATATTGTAGCCAACGAGCTATATAGTTTTATTGGCAAACAAAAATTCTCTACTGATGGGATATTCTTACAATTCTTACAAAAGAATTGGTCTTACAAATTAAATTTGGTCTTTTTAAGTATCTCTAATCGTGTAAATTTGAATGGCATTGTTTTAATTAAATCCATGTTTGATGCAGTAACCTTTGTGGTACTTGTTAATTTTATGACATGTATTATTTTTACTAGCCGCATATGTGGGAGTCCGTGTCCTGCAGTATGGCCTGATGTTATAAAATTGGCATATTTCAATACCATGAAACCAAAGAAGCAATATCGTCGAAGACTGAGGGAAGAGTTTGCTTTGTAAGAATTTAATTATTTAAATATAATATGTTTCTCCCCCATTCATGAATTTATTTTATTGTTTATGATCTTCATAGCCTGTATCTACTGTATGTAATATCACCTTTGAAAAGAAGCAGAATTTATAGACAACAAAAGATACTCCAGCCTAGGTAGACCCAGATCAGGAAACAACAGATAGTGGAACTAAATTTTATTGAGATAGACTATAGTAATACAAATCTTGCATGTCTACTTATGTTTTACATTCCCTTTCATCCAATCTAAGTCTTTTCCAAAGCCTTCCCAGAGTTTAAGGAATGCTTTTGCCCTTATTTTATGCAGGCTGTGACTATTTACTTCAAACTATTTTCATAGGTCTCTATACATTTTTGTATGATTCAAAAACAATTTTGAAAAGTAGTCTTTATTTAATTAAGTTGATATTTTCTACACAGAGAGAAATATTGCATGTGAGACAAATACTATTTTATTTATTAGAGTAACTTGTGAGATGGGCAACCATATCAATTTTATAAATGAATAAGGATATTTTAATGAATTCAACAGAAAAGTAATCCTTGAAATCAGCTGTTTAGTTATCTGTATTTACTTATCTATATAATCCTACTATTTGTTACACACTTTTGTCAATGATGGATGAGCATCTTAAAGCCACCGCAAAAGATCTTCATATCCTATCCTTCCAACTTGGTCCTGATAGACCTTTCTACCTCTTTGAGTAAAAAAAGATGCTAATAAAAATATTCCTTCAATATCAAGAAAATACGGCATTTGCAATTGCTTCTTGGATGGTTCATAACATTGGAAGCAAAATATTGCAACAAAATTTCCTTCTTGTACTTCTGAACTCTTTAATTGATGTTTTGGATGTTAGTCACAGGCCCTAAGAAATTTATATGATCATGTAAATATCATTTACATCGCCCACAATGGATGACCATGAATTTTCTGATCCAAACTTGGGTCTTGAATTTTTTTTCTTCACAAGTGAAATTCTGTATGATACTGCTTTGATCGACAATGTGTTTTTGGGCCATAATTATGAACCCATATTTAATCAGCTATTACAATGTAGTAATTTTTTTGAAATTCCTCAGCTTTATTCTTATAGAATGGTAAAAGTTGCTGGCAAATTTCAGTTCTTATGGCATTCATCTTTGCCATCAAGCATGAAAAGAAGCTATCTTGCACAGTCTTCTGATATTGAAGAAATCAATAACATGACCAATGTGTTCCTGTGAAATGTCATGTTTGATAGCAATTCCTCTTTGAGTGTCTGCTGATTATTTGTCAATTCATCTATATTTCTCATGAAGTTTATTAATTGTTTAGTTCAAGTTGTGCTGTTGTTCAAGCAAATCACTTTTGCCCAGTTTACCATTTTCACATTTTTTTGGTCCAGCATGCAGTTTTCATGTCACTTGATATCACTGCCATAAGCATTTGGAATTGAATTTCAGTTGGAGAACTCCTTTAGCAGTCAAACATTCAATTAAAGCATGTTGCTTAAAATGCTGTGACAAATGGTCATTTGAGCCTTCTGTTTCATAAACAATAACAATATAACTATTTCTCATAGCAGTTTCCACCAACTGAAAGGAAAGAACAGATACTAAAGAATTTGTCAGAATTTCTAGTGTCATCTGACAACTTTTGAGGCATTATTTTTCATTCAGACTCACATTGTTATATTTAACATTTAATGTATGCACATATTTAACATTACATTGTATAGACAACTTGTATGGATTCTTCTAGCGTAGCATTAAAATTAAGCATATCAATTTATGTGAAAAAGATGTCAGTTATCTGAGGCATCATCATGTATTTTTAAGTGTTAATGAAAACAAGGATAACTTTCTTTAAATGCTAAGTCTAAAAGGGAAGAAAATTTTTGAAATCTTTGAATGAACATTATTTTGTTTTCTTCACTTCATTTTATTTATTTTGTACAGTATTCCTGCAGCTGCACTAGATCTCTTTGATTACATGCTTGCTCTTGATCCCAGCAAACGCTGCACAGCAGAACAGGCACTTCAGTGTGAATTTCTGAGAGATGTGGACCCTTCAAAGATGCCTCCACCAGAGTAAGTGTTTCTTAGTTGAGTTTATTTTCTGCAAAATAAAATTCATTTCTACCAGTAGAAGCCAGATACTACATATATATTCATTTTTGTTGCACATTGGATCAAGGTTTACTACATATTATGACTGCATTGTGTAAACATATTGTTGAAATTGCACATATCACATTAACTTAACAGCAAAAACCTATCTGGAAAATATTTCAAACTTTATCTGGAAAAGTCTACAATCCACTGGTGGTCTGTAATATGCATTCCCTACCCAAGGCACACCTTTGTATTTGTTTACTTTCTTGAAAAATAAAACACAATTCACACAGAAATATATAGAAACAGCAATTCTGAACTTTAACATCTCGGTAACAAAGGATTTAAAAACAGCAATAAGTTTACTTATTAACTGACAAGTAGCAATCTTTTTGTTTTTGCCCACATATTTTTATTTAACTGAAAATGATGGACTCAAGATCGGCTCCACTTGTCTCCAAATTTGGTTTTAGGGGAGTGGAATTAGTTTCCTTCATCTTATACAACTAGTCTAGTTTTATGAGTCTCACTTATACTCAAGCACTCTTCTTTTTCTCTGATCTTCAAGGATGTGCTCAAGTTTCTCCCATTTGCTTTGAGCAACTTAGTGACAGTGATTGAGTGCCTATTTTGCATGGTTAAAAAAAAAAGATGAGATAATATGTACAAATCATTTAGTGGAATTCCTTTTCCTGATTTCCTGAAAGTAACAGGTAGTTAGTAGAAAAGTCTCAGAACAGTGATCAGGTGCCCAGGTAGTTAGTTCTTTATGATCCAGAGACAATAAACACTCCAGAAAGTACGAGATTTTTTAAGCTTTATTATTAACTAAAAGCATACAGAATTAAAAGCATAACCTAAAAAGCCTACATACCAAGTTTTTATAGTCTATCAAGAGCTCCTTAATAACAATAGCAGACGTACCCCAAGGATGTCAGTTTCCATAGTATCTAGTGCTAGGTTCTGTGCAAAAGCTCCAACAAACAATAACAACCTTACAATTTTTATCAAATTCTGGCTTGGTCTGTCAGCTGGCTGATATGTTGATATGCCTCTCTTTCATAATAGTTAACTACTGGCTTTTAACTTTTTTATGGCCTCCTATTTAAATTTTGTCACTCAAGTTCCTTGTGGTGATTATTGTGTACTGAATAACTGTAATTTCTTTCTTGATAGTCTTCCTTTATGGCAAGATTGCCATGAACTGTGGAGTAAGAAACGTAGAAGGCAAAAGCAAATGGGCATGACTGATGATGCAGCTAAAGTTCCAAGAAAGGATTTATCTTTGGGGATGGATGATAGCAGAGCCAACACGCCCCAGGGTTTACAGACCTCTTCACAACTGAAGATGCAGAGCAACTCTAATATAGCACTTGGTAATGTTTTTATTTTTCTTTATCAAATATAAGATAGTCCTCATTTAATAACTGCTCACTTAGTGACCATTTGAAGTTACAATGGATCCTCCAAAAGATGTTTATGACATTCTGATGGCAGCATTCCACTACAGTTACATGCTCACATTTTGGGTGCTTGGTAACTGGTTTAGCCTTTATGGCCAGTTGCAATGTTTTGTGGTCGTATGATGCAATTTTTGCCAGTTTTGGAAGAAACTGGCCTTTTCAGTCAGTTTCTGGGAAAAATACTCATAAGAATTCATTGACTCACTTAACAACAGTTGCAAAAAAAGTTTTTAAAATGGTCGATCACATGAGTGCCTCAACTTATGACCATTATGTTTTGTGATGTAAATTCCAGGCTCCCTTATGGTCATAAATTGAACCTGTAACTTAGGATGGACATTATTTTTTTTAGGAGAGGTCATTTAGATCAAAAGAAACACTGGAAAAGAAATAAATTAGATAAAATACAAAAGAATCCAAAGATCAGGCTTTCAAAACTTGGAAGTAGAAGACTAATTAGTATATACTATAAAAGTTTTGTCTGATTAATGTGATATTTTTTATATAAGAATCCTAACTGGACTTTTTTTCTTCTTTTTTTCCTGTCAATTACGTATCCATTTTATTTTATTTCTCCAGTTGGGTTTTACGTTAGATTTCCTTTACCATTGCAATTAACTACTCTTGCTACTTTATAGTAAAAGGAAGGAGAGTGTGTGACAGTGTGTTTGATTGCTTGATAAATGGAAATTAATGTTTAAGAGGCTAACTTTATTTTAGAGGCAAGTAATATTAAACACTAGTTATTACCATATTTTTTGGAGTATAAGACACATCTTCCCCCCCCCCAAAAGGGGGTGAAAATTTAGTCTTATACACCGAATGTAGCCCCGCCCACCCACTTTGGCCTCTGCCTCGCAGCAGTTACTTCCTTACAAGCAAATAGCAAGAAAAAACAGCTCCTTTCAGCTTCAGCACAGGCTAATTAGCACAAGTTGATTAGATCGGCCTCCCAACTCTCAGCTGATTTGCTGTCAGCTGTTTTGCGCAGGGCTCTGCTGCTTGCTGCAAAGACATAAATTGCTGGAGCAGATTTTTTTTTCTTGTGCTAATCGAGCTATGCTGAAAACGAAAATGAAAGTAAAGCAGGCTGTTTGTGTAATGAGGCAAAATTGCTCAGAGGCAGAGGGAGATTTCTTTTTCTCGTTTTCTTCACCAAAAAAGATAGATGTGTCTTATATTCTGGTGCATCTTATACTCTGAAAAATATGGCAATTCAATTAATTTACATTTATTTATGCTTCTTTGTTGGTATAACGCTATCAGTACTCCCTTCTTTCCTGGACCTTTCTACTGCTTTCCTTCCCTTTATATTTTTTTAGTGGATACTGTTGATTTTGCATTTCCCCCATTATCTCCCATCCTAGAATATTTGTGCCTGGAATACATATGCCAAGTAAAATCAAAATCTGGCTTTTCTTTGCATAAGTTTCCCTGCAAATAGTATACCTTGACTTTTGAAATTAGAGAAATTGTTTTATTTTTTTTTTCCTCAATAGTTGTGATGCTGGAAAAGAATTCGTTAATTGCTGTTCCTGAGATATTATCAAAATAGATTATTTTAGGCATGTTGCTGTATTTTCCATTCTTAGAGAGGAATCCCAATAATAAAGAATAGTAACATCTATTTCTTAGGGTTGCACATAAGATTTCAGATTCAAAATATGCTCAAAATAACCATTTAATAATTAAAAAAATAGCCCAGAAATAATTCTGTCTTGGAATACCATGTTTCCCTGAAAATAAGACTCTGTCTTACATTTTTTTGAACCCTGAAACCTTGGCCTTATTGCCATGCGCTCAAAAGCCCAATTGGGCTTATTATCAGGGGGTGTCTTATTTTCAGGGAAACAGGGTAGCTATTTCAATTTTTATTTCAATTTTTTATTAGTTTATCATAATATAAAATATAAAGGAAAATGAAAATAATGAGAAACTAGGAGATTTAAAAGAGAAGAGGAGAAAAGTGTAGGGTAAAAGAAAAAAAGCAAGAAAAGCATTGACTTCCAATGTTTTTTAGCACAATAGAAAATAGTAACATTACAGCCTCGACTTGTTACTTTTAGACAGTAATATATATTAGCTATTTCTAGAACAACAAACCCATCTAATCAATAAAATCCTAAATTAAAGTTTAATTTTTTTTATCTCAAGCACACAATCCAGAAGCGGTTTCTAAACGGAAACAAAGTTAGATTGTTCTTTTCTTTAATTACAACAGTCAATTTAGCCATCTCTGCTTTTTTCCTGTTATGGGAAGTAATAAATAGTTCTATTTACACTTTGTAAATAGAATCTTTGGGAATCTTTGTAGACTATCAATTTATAGCAGTGATGGCGAACCTTTTTGGCACCGAGTGCCCAAACTGGAACATGTGTGCATGTGTGTGTGCTAGAGTGCTGGAAACTCAAAGACCAGTTGTCCGGTGCACATGCATGCACTGGCCAGCTGGTCTTTGGGTTTCTGGCATGCGCATGTGCGCCAGCCAGCTGGTCTTCGCGTGCGCTAGAGCACCAGAAACTCGGAAGACCAGCTGGCCAGTGCACGTATGTCTGTTTTTTGGGCTGTTCTCAGGCCATTTTTCAGGCTGTTTCAGGCTGTTTTTCAGACCATTTTTCGGGTCAAAAATGGCCTGAAAATGGCCCCAAAAAAGGCCTGCTTTTTGGGCTTTTTTTGGGGGGAGGACCGTTTTCAGGCTATTTTCTGGCACTCCAGCGCTTGCACCAGAAACCAAAAGAGCAGCTGGCGGTGGTGCGCATGCCCACAGAGAGGGCTCTGTGTGCCACATCTGGCATACGTGCCACAGGTTCGCCATTACGGATTTATGGTAACAAAATTCACTATACTTCTTCAAATTATTTAACCTTAAAGGGAAAACTTATATAAATTTAATAAATGGATAAAATTAAAAAAACAAATAGTTTACCTTATTTCCTATGAATGCTGGAAAATATAAATATAGTCTACCTGATAGATATACAAAATCCCTTTATTTGTATTTTAATTGATTGCAAAAAATATATATCTATATATAGAACTTTCAAGTGAAGCGGAAGACAGTAGAAGTGGTTGTCATTTTAAAATAAACTTTATTTTCCAATCTTAACTTGAAAAACAAAAGATTATCTGTATGTGAAATTCTGCCTCTAAAATAAAAGCAAAATGTTCATTCTGCCATACTGAGGAAAAGTCAAGAATGTTCTTCATGTCTAACCACTGTTTAAGTAGTCATTGAAGTGGGTCATAGTCAATTGAATTTTGCTTGAGACTTCAAATATGAGCATACTAAGTGCCTCCTTTCTGTTTTTCTTGCTACTTTCAGTGAAAGCAGGCAGTGGTCAGCCACTAAATCAAAATGAAGTGGCAATTCTCCTAAACCTGCTCCAGTCTAAAACTAGTATTAATATGGCACAATTTGCTCAAGTGCTGAACATTAAAATGAATCCTGAGACTGAGCAACAACTGAATAAAATAAATCTTCCAGCTGGCATTTTGGATATGGCTGAAAAACAGTCTGAACAACAACAGCAGCAGCAGCAACCGCCGCCGCCGCCACCACCACCACCGAAGCCACCACTGCCTCCCTCACCAGACCAAGAGCCTTTAAAACAAACAGCAACACCACAGTTTTCTGTGCAAGCCACTCCATTGATCCAATCTAAAGTTGACCCAGAAGTTACCCGAGCAGCTGTGCAGAGTGCATTTACAGTTTTGTTATCTCAGTTATTAAAGGCTCAACAATTGAAGCAAAAAGAAAATTTCCTAGAAGAAAAGGAAAATGGATCAGGAAATGACATGTCATTACAGTCAAGACAGCCTCCAGAACCAAGTACACCAGCATCTGGCAATTGGGAAAATACAGAATCTCCGGCATCTGTTTATCCCCATCTTATTAAATCATTATACACATGTGCAGGTATGAATTTTAATGTTGGGAAAATTATATTTAGACAGATGGATAATTTATATGCTTGAGAATGTCAGGCTTACTATTGTTTCTCTCAAACACTTGGATTAGAAATTATTTCTTGGGTGATTTTCTTAGGTTTATAGGCTGCTTCAGTTGCTGATGACTCTTAAATGGCATGTTAAAGTATTATATTCTGTAATAAAGATTAAGTTATTTTTCAAAAACTCCTGTGATACCAAATAAAGAATACATTAGGAATTTATAGAATTCCTTTATTAACATTTATATTTTCCTTTTAGTTGTAGTTATTTGTAGCAGCATACAAATATATTTTCCAGATACTATGAATACAGAATCAGTGGATTTCTGTGTTGATATTCTGAATTGGCTCTAGAGGAAATTGAGCAGGACAGTATCCATACACATCAGTTTTGCTGATTCCTCCCCTCAAATCCCATGTGTCTTTTCATGGGAAATCTAGAGTCTCAAGAAGAATGTGAGATAGGGCAAAAAGGACTTCAAATAAAGGAATTTGGAGAAATTTGGCAAAGTATTTCCTATGTATTATTTATTTTTAAATTTATAAGGCTGCCAGATTCCATTGAGACTGGGCAGAGTGCAATATTAAAACAATTAAAAAATGCAACCAAAGAACAATAGGGATCTGGAAAATAATCCTAGTCCCCTTCCCCTCTCCCAACTCTAAACACAGTCATACAATATTCACTTTGTCTTAAGACCAGAGGAAAGACTTTTTAAAACAAAGGTCAGGATGGGGCCAAATGAATTTTTGTTAGAATATTATTTTGGACAGCAGATGCACATTTGGACAGAGAAGCATATTTCTGGAAGTAATTTCGTTCAAACAAGACTTTGCTCGATCCAACCTTTAATACTTAATAAATATTCTATATCATTAACTGTGTATTTAAACCTAAAATATATTTCTAGTTCCATATTTAATCCTAAACTATTTCAAAATTAATTTAGGACAAGATGACTTGGTGAGACCCCCTGAAATGAAACCTCAAACCCCAGAAGAACGTCCTCGTATCTTGCCACCAGATCAACGACCCCCCGAGCCCCCTGAACCACCACCAGTTACTGACGAAGACCTTGATTATCGGACAGCAAATCAATACTTACCTTCAATTAGTAGCTCTTCAGGGATGGATCCTCATGCTGGAGTAAAAGCAGCTCTTTTAGAGCTGCTGGCTCATCACCAAGCTCAAACATCTGAGAAACCAGCAACATCTAATGTGAAGTTCCAGTCAAGAGACTCCTTTGTAACAGGTCCAGACTATAAAGATAGTTTTGTATCTACTACATTCTCTTGTGCCCACTATAGTGGTAGTGATGGAATAGGAAATATATCATCTGGAACACTAGAAAGGGCAAATTTTGTTGGAAATTCAGATGTTCAATACTTGGAGAACTATAATATTGCTTCATCTCATTCAAATAGTGCCCTTCCAACTCCTGCCTTTTCAGAACCATTTCATAGCTCAGTAACTCATTATGGAGACATTTATCTCAACAGTGGTTCCATGCTATTTAGTGGTGATAAGGATCATAGATTTGAATATAGCCATGGTCCCATCACAGTACTGGAAAACAGTGGCGATTCAGTTGGAAGGTCTGGGTCTGAAAGTACTCATTCTCATTCTTTGTCTTCAAAGATGCAGAACTATAGCTATGGAAGTAATTTACAAGAACCTCCTGCCAGTGCCAGCCACATTCATGGAGAAACTTGGACTTCTCCTGCTCAAGGACCTGGATATTCACAAGGATACAGGGGACAAATTAGTACATCCACTATCAGAGGTCGAGGCAGAGGATTGCCATACTAAGCTTCTGTTCTTTCCCCCTTCCCCTTGGCCTTCAGGCACGTCATTTGTATCCTGGAAAAACTTTTTAACTGTGATTTCAAACAGCAATCCAACAGACTTGAATAATGTTAATTCAGCAGCTTTATTTTTATTCAGAAAAGGGTCTTGCATACAATAGAAAATTGCTCGCAATTCATGCTGTTCTGAAAATCCAGATAATTGTACATCTTTCAAATTCTAGCTATAAATTTTATATTTTGGCAGTTCTAAGTCAATGCTAAATTTAGAAACATCAGCTTTTTAAGGCACACTACTAAGATCTGAACTATGCACACACTTTGTGCTTTTTTTGTAAGTTTGGACCAACTTTTATGTAAAAAATTTTACAAAACCAAAACAGGGCACTGATTTATTTGGTATTTCTTTTTACAAAACTACCTTTAGTCAATAAGTCACTATCAGTCTTCGCACTGCTTTCAGTGTTATCTATGGAAAGTGTTTGTGCTCATTTCAGACAATAAAATACAGTCACCCTTGATACTATTTATACATACTTTGACATTAATTTGATTTACTTTCACAATTGTTTGTCTAGTAAAATATCCAATCCATCTTCCCAACATTTGTATAAGTATCTGTTTTACTTGAATGGTAAGTGCCTTAATGATGTAATCTTAAGGTCTGAAGAACATTTCATTAAATTCATAAGGCTGTTTGAAGGTAATTTGTATTTTGGTACAAAGTATTAATATTTACATGATACCGATGCTAATTTAAGGACAAATGGGACAGAATAGTGTCTTAGGAGTTTTCATATCCTATTAGGTGAAATATTTATCTTCTTTTTTTCCAAAATTATAACCATTCCCATATTTAATTAAATGAAATTACATGAGAATGTATGCATAATAATGAAAAAGATAGGTTTCCTTCAATTTTCTGTACCCTTTAACTACCAAATAAACATTAGTGTCCTGTTTTATTCAAAACAGTCTTTATTAAAAACAGATAGCATTTTGTCACTATCTTCTAATAAGTACTTTGCTCATTTTAAATGTAGCTGCTGTAGAATGTAACTTTCGTTACATAAACAATTAATGCAACTGAAATTTAAACAATTTAAATTTATAGAAATTAGGATGGTGCCAATCAGTTCTGTATTATATTATTCTACTAGTCTATTCATTTAATTTGAATAGGTTTTTAATTCATTGTATCTTCAATTGCAAAGGAGGGAAAACAAGGTCCCCAAAAATCAATTCTGGCTTCTGGAGAGGCTTTCTGGGATTATATATTTGTTTCTTGAGAAGAAGAGAAGCCCCTCCCTGTAGACAAGCCACTGGCTATGATTTCTCTGTACTGAAATGTTTTTAAATGACAATATTGAAAAAAATATTGGCAATTGGCAAGCTAATGCATACATGTACCAGTGGCTATTTTCTAAAAATATAATTACATATAATTTACATGTACTCTCAGCTGAGTTTATTAGAAGCAATTCAACAAATCACTGCTTCTTTTTTTTTTTTTAAATGAGTGAGTACTGCATTTGTAGAGTGTCAAATACATGTGAACTTTCCTGTAAATACAACTATGGTCATCCTCAATAGAGAACTCCTGATTGAAAATAAAAACAGCTAAACTGGAATAAAATATTTTGTAATTTTAGCTGTTAATGTTGATATTTCAGATAAAAGAACAGTGGTCTGGAATGGGTGTTTCTGAATAACCTTGTTTAGTAAAAGTAAACATCAACTTCAATATCTTTTTGATAAAAATTTGTTTGATATTCAGATTTTGGATTAAATTCCTAGTGATCCTTTTGATTGTTTATTAATTCTCACATGAGTCTTATATATTACAAGGACTGTGTTAAGAAAACATGTCATACGTTCCCGACCAGACAAAAAGTTTTTCTTTGTTTTTATTTATACACTATTGGTCATATATGATATTGCAGTGCTAACAGGAAATTCACAAGTTCTAACATATATTTCATGTACATTTCTTAAAATATATCAAACTTAATTAAGGCCAGTTTCTCTGACAAAGCATTACATAGACTACTTCCATTCTTTAGTGCCCTATTATAGCTCTGTTGGAAACAATGTCAGATCCCTATCTGTCTACTTATGAAATAAATAGGTTGAATCAACAAATACACTATTTTTATTCAGGGAAAGCCATGGTTTTTACTTTTACTGATAAGATCACTTGGCTTCCTAGTTTAGTATTTCAAAATCTGAATGTAAAGTAAAAGGTACAATGAATGGTCCTAAAGGTCTTTATCTAATAAAGTTATTTTCAGTGTTCAAGACAAAATGTTTTAAAATATCCATGTTCATATACTTTATTGATTAGCCCTTGGGCCATATCAAAGTGCAAAGTTCCAGACACAAATTATTACTAAAATCTGATAAAGACAATTTAAAATGGAATTGGATAAAAAACAATTTAAAATGAAATTGGAATAGAATATGATTTAAAATGAAAATGGAATAATTTAAAATGATAGCTTTGATTAGCCTATAGGCATATCAAAGCACAAGGTACAAACACATATCACCAATACAATCTTATACAAACAATTTAAAATAAGAGTAGGGTAAAATACAATAATTATAGGATAAGATACAATATAATTTAATACATAAATATATACAATAGAATAAAATGACATAAAATTATATTTCGGTGTCATGCTTACAGCTAAATTGGAATCAGTCCCATGTATGCAGATCTCAATCGAACCATTTTGTTTAAGTACTGTACAGTGTTAAATGTTATTTTCAGGTTCTGGCCACACAAATTAAGTTGTTTTGATATGGGGATTCCAATGGGTTTGGTATATGGACCAAGGTATCTCTCACCCCCTTATACAAGCAACAGTCAAATAGGATGTGAGCCAGGTCTACCTCTGCCGCTCCACAAATGCAGAGATGTTCATTGTAGGGTATAGAATGGAATCTCCCATATCTGACCATTGTGTCAAGCTGTTTGAATCTCGTTCCCGTAAATATCTCCCTAAGATGTTTTGGCAGTTGTAACTTCAAATAGCTGTCTACTTGAAAAGTATGTAATTGCTCGGCCATTTCTAGTTGCCCACCTTACTAAGGATAGCTATATCATTTTGTGCTTCTATATCCTTAATTCTTTGGGCAGCTCTTTTTTTAAATTGTTCTCCTGTTACGCAAGAGACAGGAAGGCCACAGCTTCTTACAAAATTTGTTAGTTTGGTGATCCAGGAGATTTGTGATTGTAATTTTATTTGTTCTAGTAGACATAACTTGGGGAGTCTTATCAATCTCCATTTCATTGACTTTGCACCAGTAGTTATATGCTCTAATTTTGGATAGTGCATGAATTGTATGAATTCCCAATTCAGCTCTAACTGATGCAGCAGATGTTCTTATTCTACATCCAGAATAAGTCTCAAATGCTGGGACTGTTTGTTCTGGGGCTGTAGTAGAATATAGACCTCAAACCTCTGCTCCATACAAGAGCATAGGGGTAATCTTAGCTTTGTATACTTTAATTAATGGGTCTAGGGACCCTGGGTAACTATGGTTCTTTAACCAGTAAATTCAAATGGGCATTTGATGATGGCAAGCTCAAGACCCAGTCTTGGAAAAGGTTACGCCTAAATATATAAAGGTGTTATTAACCTGTTCAATTGGTTCACTGTCTAATTGCCACCTATGTCTCTGATGATGATTTCCAAATATTATTTTCAATTTAGATTTACTAATGGCTAGGGAGTTATCCTGGCAATAAGAGCTGAATCTTCTTAATAGCCAATTTAGTCCTACTAGTGAATATGATAATCAAATCATATCATCCACATAAAGCAAGCTGTTACAGTAAGTATTTAGGATCCTTGGCAGGTGTACCATAGGATCCTTCATTAACCCTGGCAAGTCACTGATATATAAACTAAATAGTAATGGGGCCAGGATACACCCTTGCCTTACCCCTTTATTTGTGTAAATCCTATTAGTCAGAGCCCCATTAACCCCATACCGCACCTTCAAACAGGTACCTGTGTAAAGGGTTTTAATCAAAGCCAGCAGTCTAGGATCTAAGAGATGTCAGTTTACTCCATAGTACTTCTCCGTACCATATCAAATGCTGCTGTAAGGTCTATAAAAGCAGCAAACGGGGGTCTCCTCTTATAGGCATATTTGGCAATTAGATGGTTCAAGACAAAGCAGTTATTGATGGTGGAAAGACCTGCCAATGCTGGGCTCCACCAATTGGAAATTTTTTTGAATAATTCTGCTGGTAAAGATCCTCACCTGGGGCTTTATTGCTTTTCCGAGTGGGGGAGGGGGGAATTCTAGGATTTACTAGATCCCTGCTTAGAGACAGTTTCCCTGCAGGTTCTGTGAAGGCAAACAAACACTTTTAATAATTCTTCTGGTCCTCAGCAGAGATTGGTATGTCAAATGCAAATTTCCGTCCTCTTCAGGGGGATGGAGCTATGATAAGAGGACAGGCAGCAATGGCTGTAAAGAACTCTTCCAAAAGTAAATTAGGTTTTTCTTTTTGTAATATATATATATATATACTGTAAATATTTTATATTTTTAATCTATACCAGACTTTTACAAAAGCACATGTAGTGTGGCTACCATTTGTTTTAGATACATTTTAACAATACTACAAGCCAGGATTTTTAAGAATGGAAAAGGAGAAAGAGACAGCATTCTGTAACAGAGTTCATCCAAGCCATTGAAGCAACAGAAAATGGAAGATTGTACCGTAAACAGATAGTCTGTTCCAGTAAGTAACTTATCTGCAGTCACCTTATCAGATTAATTTATATGATTCATTGGAGTAAGATTTACAACCCGAACTTGAAAGCAAACAGCATGTAGAACTTTCCTTCTCTCAGAGAATGGTTCCCCTCCTTGGAACTCCGCAGCAGCCTTCCTTGCACAGGAGGGAGATGTAATAAATTTAAGGGGGAAAATGTGACAGATTTCCTCTCTAGACAATGTTTGCTTACAGCTCAACCTGTAAACTCAATCTATGAGCTTTTATCAACTGTCATAAATAAGGTTGACTGCCTGAAGTAATCTTTTGCAAAGTTTGTTAGGAGCCACCCAAATACTGCAGAAGGACTTGGGAGGACAACCATGGATAGATACGGGATGGCTAATTCAGAAAATGAAACTAGAGAAGGCCCTTGTCTTCCTTCCAAAAATGTAAACACTCATAAAGAAAACAATCAGGTAAAGGCCTAAGAGATGACCAATATAACTACAGTCTGCAGACTAACAAGGTTACCTTGCAAATTTACGGCAACTGAGTGAATAGAGGGTGTTGGAGTGATAGAGAAGCTGTTAGGCTGTCCCTGAGCCAGCTGCTCCGCTGTGAATTCACTCAGATAGATCTACTACACACAGAGTGGCTGCCAGCAAAAAGACAATGTATGAGAATTCTATCATTCATGCAGCCCATAATTCCCTCTATGTTCTTTAGAATGAAGCCCTTTCTGAGCACCTTTTCAATATTTCCAATACGGGTCTTTTGATCAGACAAAGTGTGCCCACTCCTGAAATAGTGTCACCAAGAGGGAACTGTTGCTTTAAATCCAGGCTGCAACAGCCCTCACGCAGCTAAGCCTGAGGCTGCTGCAGCTGAATTGATCCTAAGAAGGCAAAGGAGTGATATACAAACTGTTACCCACAGCTGCAGAAACTGCTGAGGATGTGCCAGAAGAAATGCTGATTGACCTATTCAGTGCATTGCTGGAACCTGAGCAAGTTAATGTTATTCAAAGATTGGATGATCTAAAAGAGGCTCTGATAACAACTCAATCTACAGCAAAGCCTCTATTTAACCTGGTGCCACTAATTGCTCAACCTTGTGACAATATATTTAACCAACAATCTGCCTTTACCTCAATATTAAAAGAAGGTAGTGTCACAGGCTGACAGTGAGGTAACTGCACTGACTGACCCAGACTCTGAGAAACAGCTGAAAGACAAAGGACTTCATCACAGTTCCCCCTAAACCGACAAACAGTAAGAATATAATCCATCTTCCATCCTCATTTGACTTAGAAGTTCCCGCAACATCTCACAAGATGAATCCTTAGCTATGTCCCTCCAAAAATGGACATAAACCTACAGTCATAGATTTAAGCCGGAGTGCCTGCTCATCTGAAAAAAAATCATTCTTGGAGCAAAGGCAGAGGCACACTGGCAATCAAGATATAGAGGAGCAACAATAAATTCTGCAACCCACGAGGAGAAATATTGAGCCTCACAAAAACTGTGTTTATATGGGAAGCATAGATGATATCGACCTAGCTCCAATGTCAAGTTGACATCTGGCATTTTTACCATCTAGCCAACCAACCAAGCCAGACCACCTTGCCTCCAGGAACCCCATACAGATGCTGACCTGGAACCTAGCTGGCTGGAAAGGGATGGTTGATAGTGGACTAATGAGCTTTCTCCCTAGATTTGATGTAATAGCCTTTCAAGAAACCTGGTTAACCTAAGCGGACTAACCAGTACAACTGCCAGGCTTTCAGGGATGGGCCTCCCCAGCCCCCCCAAAAAAACAAAGGGAGACACTCTGATGGGCTATGCATCCTTGTAAAGCAAGAGTATAAAATGCACCTTCCCCCCCTAAAAGGGGGTGAAAATTTAGGTGCATCTTATACACTGAATATAGCCCCACCCACCCACTGGCCCCCACCCTTTGGCCTCTGCCTCCCAGCAGTTTACCTCCTTGCAGCAAGCAGCAAGAAGAAACAGCTTGTTTCAGCTTCAGCACAACCTAATTAGCACAAATTGATTGTCCCTTGGATCGGCCTCC